TATTTTATCAGTTAGAGGCAGCTCATTACCAGAACAAAATACTTTTTATATCAGAACGGTTCATGAAGAGATATTCCATTGCATGTGTATGGCTACACTTGAAGATGATTTTACATTTATTTGAATTGATTATGACGGTAAGTTTTACGGAACCAATTATTAACAGTCACCATTCCGTTTACTAATTGCATGAGATTTACTGCTAACGATGAAAAATATTAATCAGAAATAACTTATTAATTGACAGAGTGCTAATCGTGCGCTAAAAATTGTTTATTGAATTACACTAGTCAATTAAATACCTTGCAAATTAAATCTAATGTTTATGTGCATAAGAACTATTTCTTTACGGTGTAATGCATATTTGTTTGTATAAAAGACATTGGCAATGTAAAACCGAATGGACCATTACAGAATTGTCAATGTTTGTTTGAAAGAAATAAATTTTATAAAAACATTCCTTCCACTACCGGGCTTCACGTTTTCTTAAAATAAACACAGTTCTTATATGTATTACGTTCCTGCTTAAATATAATTGAGCTAGGAAAATAATAATAAGTAGTAAAAATAAATAGTTTATTTATTTAATAACTCAGCCTAATTAGACGTTTGCTCTGGAATTTAAATTACTAGTAAAATGTGTAGCAACTGACCTTTACAACACATTTACTAGTTTCATATATCCTCGTTTTGATCGGCTACTTTTTATTTCATCTAATTAAAGTATTTGAACGTAACTAGCGCAGGCGCCGTCTGAAAAATTGTGTGATGTCACTTCTTATTATGTTGCAATTTCTTTTCGTGTATTTTTTTGTTTAGTGCTAATTAAAAGTGCGTTATTTTATTTTTTCTTGATTTTTAAATGTTGTCATGAGGTAACCGTGCCCTGCCCGTGAGTGTTCTTTTAATGGCAGTCCAAGGCGAGTGGTTGATTTTTATTCTAACGGATTGCGCTTTCTTTTCTTCCTCTACGCTTTACTTATATTAATTACCTTTATACACTAACACCTATAGAGCAGGACTTCCCAACCGGCAGGTAATAACTGTTCCACCATTCAATTGCTGCTATACAAGTTAATTTAGGGGGCATTGGCGTATCTCGGGTTATTTTTTCAGGAAGGGGGCAAGAAGGGGTACGATGAATATTGTGTCATTAGTGATTATATTTTTTTTTATTCAGGGAGACTCAGCGAAATAAAGGTTGGGAAACCCTGTGCAACGTACAAGTGAATGTAATTCTTGAACGCAATGGTGAACTTAAATGATTTTTTAACCAGTTTCTAGTGAAAAATTAAGCTACCTACCCAATTTATTTCAGATTTTTGTGATGGCTAGAAATATCCCATTCTCATCACTTTTTGAACGTCTCTTGTAGAGTATAATACAACTCTACATTTTTATACTATCCGTTGCTATACGAGTACTCAAATACATACCTACTTCGTTGAGGCTAAATTAGTTTCATTCTTGCGTGAAACATGTAGCAATGGTTGAATAAATCTGTTTTATTTCCTGATTATTTTAATTTAGAAAACTTATTGGAATCTTACATTAAATGCCTCATTTGTCAGCTTTCCAGTATATATCAGATAATTATCGGGAAGGTTAGGCAATTTAAAGCAATTTTATCGCAACATATCAAAATGTTAATGGTCATCAAGAAAGTGATTGTCAGAAAATGTACCTATTTTTATTGTTTATTATAAAAAATGTATCTACATTTATAACATAAATATCCGCATTTTGCGTTTTTAATTAGATATAGGTTGTCGTTAGCGTGTGCTAATTAAAATACAAGCGTATTAAATATGGTTTACAAGCCCTAAATTGAATCAAAATGATTGAATCCACAATTTTGGAATGAACTGTAATGATTTCTGAATTCATGAAACTTAACTTTTCCGGAAAAGTAAAGCATGAAAACTGATGAAAACACTTTTTTCACGCCACAATAACGTCTCAGTATAATTTTAACTGCCATTGAATGATTTTGTAATCTAACAAACGCATCACCAATTTTCTTACCACACATTATCTCATCCCTGAAACGCTGAAATTCCGCCTCAATAATACGAGTAGGTAATACATAAACAATAGACACTTATCTTTTTTTCTATTACCCTATCAGTGATAACAAATACATGTTGATTATCATCTGACCGACTTCTGTGTTACACACGTCACTATCTCAAACAACCAATTAAATAATTAGCGCGCTCGGAGTAACACAAGCACTGACAACTCTAATTATTAGGACGACAATAAATCACCAGTTTGTTGATATATTTTATCATTATCTACAATTTATTAGTCTCTACGAAGTCTTTTATTTTCATTACGATTTGCATTACTGAGTGGTGTCATGTAGACATAAAAATGTTGTTTGATATTGCATGTATGTTTTTTGTAGATGTTTAATCATATTGATATTATTAATTCAATTATAGCGCGAAACACGCTGAAAGCGCATGATTTACAGCTCTTACGGCTCTGGAATAGTTTCACAACAACTTTGTCAAGTTCACGAGTGGTTTATACACTAGCGAGTGTCGGTGGCTGCACACGCGCTGGTTTTGCTTTGTGACAATCAATTTCGTGCAAAAGAATAACAATAATATTTATAGATATGATTTTCAGAATATTTTTTTACGTATTAACATATTTACAATTATTATTGTCTTAATTGCAATTGACACACAGTTTTATCTGACCAACTAATGATTGATTGATGAGTATTTGTCTTCTTTGGAGCAATTTTATTTTCAATTTCAATATTTCTTTAGTCTATCTCGCACACAGCTGTTAGTGAAAGTCTGGAAATGAGTGAGTAAGACAGACATCAAACTAAGTTGATAAATGATAAGAGAATCACGAAATTTCAGAGCTTTCGTCTCTTTCACCCATGCCAGGACTCCGGGAGTGAGTGATTGGAGTAACTTAAAGAACCTTCAACAGTAAATATCTTTATTTATTTATTCGGTTTTATTTTAGCTCTAAAGATAATGTTTTTATTTGTATAGAGAACAATAGTGTCTAGACAAACCTAAAAAGGATTTAGGACGCTATTTGGATCAAATATGTAATTGCTCAATAATGAATAATAAATAAATAAATAAATAAATAAATAAGCTGATATTGATATCTTGAAGATTTGCGGAGTAATTTTCAAACATCCCGTGTTCATATAAAACGGTAAAAGATCCATAAAATATACAAATTTCGAATTGTAAATCGTATTAACTCTCAAAATTAGGAAAAGCTATACCTGCTTGATTTCGATTAATTTTCCATACGACTGTAGTCTTTACTTTAGGCCTTATACCTTTTATTTTACTAACAGAGGCGGCTATCAAATTTTTACTGATCTGGCATTAGTATTATCCAAATGACCAACAAACATACACTTCGGCGCAATTCCGATAGTCCGTCCATAGTTTTAAACATTATCTTCATTACAGGACCAATAATAGTGTAAAACAATAGTTTAAGTGATAGATAAGAAAGTCGTAAGTGACAAAACAAAGACGTAAGTGACTTAAGTGTTAAAATGTTATGTGATTGTATGCTAAGAGGACGATAAGAGATACTTAGGGTATTGTGGACAAGGGGATAGTGGTCAGTCGCCATGATGCTTTACATGACTAAGGCTGAGGAGGTGCCTGTGAAGCGGCCTCCACGGAGGAGGTACATCAGTGCTAATATCAAGGTCAGTATTTAAAAAAAAACAGTATTGTTCACTGAAAAGAAAGAAATGTGATGCCGTGCTTCGGAAGGCACATTCAGTCCCTCAGTTTTTTAGACAGGTTTAAGTTTGTGGTTCATTATGGCTGGGTTGCACCATCTTACTTTAACTTTGACAAACGTCAAAATTCTGTCAAACTCCACACAAAAAGCATCGGTTAACGTCATAGTTACCGTTATATTTAGGTGGTGCAACTTAGCCTGTCTGTATATTTTTACAATACAATGTATTGAAAATAAACGTATTCAACTCGTATTCAATTAATTCAGTTAGTTGGTACACTACACCACGACTCTACTTTCGATATCAATGTTACTTATGGTATTTAATTAAATAGTAGTCTAATAGTATTATTAATAAGTTGATTTATTGATAGATTTTCATTTTTCATCATTCACACCGAGTCGGAGTCGGAATCACATGTTTTACGAGCAATATTACCTGATTATAGTTTAAGTACCTATCGCCAATCGGGCGTCACAATGCTTGACATTATCTTAAATAGGACTAGCGGCCGCCCGCGACTTCGTACGCGTGGATCCTGTTTTACCCCCTTTCCGAATTTTCTTTGCTATAAACTAGAGATGAAACGGATAGTTGTTTGGCCGGATACCGGATACCGGATATCCGGCCAGCTGCTAGGCCGGATAGCCGGATATCCGGCGGCCGGATAGTTGGCCCATTGTCTCGTTGCATGTCGTGACGAGTTTAGGTGCTTCGAACGCGATCAGTGAATCTATTAGTAGTAGTAGACTAGACTAGTNAGTAAATATCTTTATTTATTTATTCTCATTCCTGAAAGACTTTTTTAATTCGAAGATTTATATTTTGCTCATTTAAATATATTGAATAGAAAGCTACAAAGCAAAAGTAGGCAAAATGTGTCAAATATAACACTGTGGTAATGAAACTGAAGGGGTGATGTCTGTCGATGATAAACTGAATGTCTATAGATGAGATGGAAATATTATCTTTACGTGGATAAAAAAGGCGGTTTTATTTTAGCTCTTTAGATAAGGCTGATATTGATATCTTGAAGATTTGCGGAGTAATTTTCAAACATCCCGTATTCATATAAATCTGTAAAAGATCCATAAAATATACAAATTTCGAATTGTAAATCGTATTGACTCTCAAAATTAGGAAAAGCGGCTTGATTTCGATTAATTTTCCATCGTGTCGTCTTTACTTTATGCCTTATGCCTTTTATTTTACTTACAGAGGCGGTTATCAAATTGTTACTGATCTGACATTAGTATTATCCAAATGTCCAACAAACATACACTTCGGCGCAATTCCGATAATCCTTCCATCGTCATAAACATCTTCATTACAGAACCAATAATAGTGTAAAACAATAGTTTAAAAGTGCTAGATAACAAAGTAAGTGACAAAACAAAGACGTAAGTGACTTAAGTGTTAAAATGTTAAGTGATTGTATGCAAAGAGGGCGATAAGAGATAGGGTATTGTGGACAAGGGGATAGTGGTCAGTCGCCATGATGCTTTATATGACTAAGGCTGAGGAGGTGCCTGTGAAGCGGCCTCCACGGAGGAGGTACATCAGTGCTAATATCAAGGTCAGTATTTAAAAAAAAACAGTATTGTTCGCTGAAAAGAAAGAAATGTGATGCTGTGCTTCGGAAGGCACATTCAGTCCCTCAGATTTTTTAGACAGGTTTTTATTAAGAGGTAAAGTTTGTGGTTCATTAAAGGCTGATTTACACCTTGGCTGTACACAGGCTGATTAAACAGCATGTACCTAAACAGAACTAGCAACTTAAAATTTAGTTGACAAATTTCAACTTGCACAACTTGGTACTAAATTTTGTGTTTACATGCAATTAATCGCATAAAAGTAACTTAAATTTTAGTTACCTACTTATTACGTGTAAATCAGCCTTAAGTCTGTATATTTTTTACACTACAATTTATAGGAAAAACAAGGCTTCCGGCGACTGGGACCGCAATTAACTGGGACCGCGGTCCCAGTCGCCGGATGCGTAAAAATTAAATAAATTTTCTTCCGGCGACTGGGACCACTCATAGATAACTAAAGAAAATATTATTAAATCCAAAATNAATATGGCTTTTTGTAACTTTTTGGACTTTATAATAAGCCATTTTATTGATGTTTACCTCAAAGATTAATGTATTTCATTTTTATTAATAGGAAATTGTAGTTTTTTAATATCCGGTATCCGGCCGGATAGTGAGTTACTATCCGGTATCCGGCCGGATAGTAAATTTAGGCCGGATATCCGGCCTACCGGATAGTTACCGGATATCCGTTTCATCTCTACTATAAACCTCACGGAGCCCGAGACCTTTCCAACGAATGCAAAACCGTGGAAATCGGTTCGTGCGTTCTGGAGTTATAGCGTCAGGGAGGAAAACCCGACTTATTTTTATATAGTAGATGTGCACTAAAACGATTACGACTGAAATAGATATCACAGTTTTTAGTTTTTCGTGAAACATGGAACAATATTATGTGCATAGTGATTAAACATTTTTAATATTGCTACACACGGGTGCTAATTTGTAGCCTACAGTACTTATCTGTCAGTTACAATCTTTACTGTATCGTTAAATTTATGTAGGTATACAATCCAATTTTTCAGCCCATTTATTTAATAGCTTTTTTTAATGCAGTTTCACGGCTTTCTAGATACATAAATAACAATAACTGATAAACAGCTGATCTTATCGATCGCGGACGTCAATGATAGCGAAGAAAACTGTCAAGGACGTCACAGTGACTTAAGGTGAATGTGCACTAGAGTGAGTACTTGTAACAGAACATCGAGGCGCTCTAATGACTCGCGAACGGTACGACACGATACGCTTGAAGTTTGCTGCAAATTAATTTTGTAGACCAACGTGCGGTTTGTTATGAAACTACATAATTATGTACTTGTACATAATATATTGTATTGAAATTAAATTATTAATAGAGGGAAAAGCACGAGCCCAAGCAAAATGTGTAAGGGTAAAGTCTTACTTGTAGAGACGTTAAAAAGTACTTACTCTATCTTAATTTCCACTCTCTCTCTCTATCAATTCTGTATGAAACGTTACCATGTTGCAATCAAAACTTTTGACCAATCTGTAAAGGTAGTTTTGATGCTTTACACCATATTAATTTAGCTCTAACAAACGTCAAAATTAAGTCAAACTCCATACAAAAAACACCGGTCATCATTTAGTTACGGTTAAAGTAAGTTTGTGCAATTCTGCCTATGAGTTTTGTCTATATCATAATACCTATTTATGTTATCAAGTAGATAAGCTCGAGAAAATGTAATCTATAGTCACCTTTATCAGCAACAACTTGCACCGCCTTATAAGGAAATGTTGGTTTATCATTGAATATTAAATCGGCTATCTTTATTGATGTGATCGAAATAAAATTCTGATATGATTAGAGAGGGTATGCATTTTTAAAAGGTATAATTATTTTCTTGCATAAACAAGACATTGATAAAATTACCACCGTTGTAGTAATTTGTTTTCGAATAACGCATCTTTCAGCGTGCGTACAGTCCTCTCAACTTAAGCTGAGAATTGCATTTGTGTGAGTGCACACCGATAGTTTAGAGTGGCAATCGGCTTAAAGCGCGGCGCGTCCCGCGCATGGTTTATTATAGCAAGCGGCCTGAAGCGCGTCGCGTCCGCCACGCACCGCTTCCTTGTCGCTCACATACTTCACTTCACCCCCGGTACTGGTAGCAGATACGTGTAATTTTATGTAATTGTGTTCCAAATATTAGTGAAATGGCTCCTACTGTAAGTGAATTTCCTGTACGAAATCCATTAAGCAGCCAAGTGAAAGAAATTGTATGCAAATTGAATACGTATTTTAAAGGTGTGAACGAAAAGTTTTTGGTCTGTTTTTATTTTGTAATTTTATAAAGTTTGTCTTTTTGGTGTATTTTGTAAGGCTGGCTGGACGCCCTCTCTATAAACGGTGCTCGCAGAATATCAGCGTCGAGGTACTTCGTGCCATGGCATATGCTGAGCGAGGACCTGTTTTTATTTGTTTATTTATTTAAAAGGATGTGTCAAGTGTCGTTACATCGGCCCAATTGGTAGCAAGTGTTTTATAGACTTCCTTTTAATAAAACATTAATTTTATTTGTATGTGTTTTACTAACGGTACTTTTGGCGATCACTCACACAAATGCAATTCTCAGCTTAAGTTGATAGGACTGTAGAGAACTATAGGTACTCTTAAAATAGCTCAAAACCTAAGCTTAAAACGCCCTTTCTGAAAAAGGTGACAAAGTGACAATCTTCTTATAAATAAATTCGTTGGTACCTGCATATAATTTTTTCAGTATGTATTTAATGTTTTTGGAAAACAATGGGAAAAGAAAATTCCAGACATAAACACGTCTAAAGAAATAGACTAAGGTAGAGGTAAATAAATATTAATGTAACGTTCGTGTTTTTCCACTACATTTAGAGGACCCCAGAGAGTGTAAGTTACGTTCTAAGGCTCCAGGATAGTTCCAGCTGTCACATTTACTATGCTGTTTTTACTTTTAATTGTCTTGACTTGAGCTCTTTTATTCTTACTTTGTTATTTATTTATCTGTTAAGTAAGTATTTGCACTTAACTCTTGCGATTTTCTTTGATATGATCGATTTTCAGGGGTAATTATGAGCTACGTGGCGTCCAACGTGTTTGACTGTCCAGTCAGCGTCAAATAGTTGACACTCAAATGCAAAAAATATTAAAATGTAAACGATTAAAATTGTATAAACTTTAAATAATCTATAGTTTTAAGGTTAATTTTGTATTTCTAGTTAATTTTGTAGAGAAATAAATGTCTTAAACCATAAACCATAAATTGGTAAACCATAAACCCTACATTACGTCGTTTAAGTTCTATCACCACGTAAGTCATCAACCGACTTCAAAAAAGGAGGAGGTTCTCAATTCGACCCGTATGTTTTTTTTTTTTTTTTTNCTGATGTAGGTACATATGTTTAGTGAACTCTGGTGTTGCCAGACACATGAATAATGTTAGTTCCTCAAACATTCATGTCACGACTTTATAGACAGACTGTATTTTAAACTATTATGTTGCATTTTTTACTATAAAATTATCACTTCACGGGATTTAGTGCAACCGAGCCGAAACGTCGGGAGGGTAAATATTATTTACCGTTAAAATAGATATTGTTGCAATAAATCCCGTGAAGTGATAATTTTATAGTTGGTACTATTCAGATAATGAAACTGCTCATTTAAATGAGACTACCTACGTCACGACTCTACTTTTTATATCAATGATACTTAAAGTAATAGTCTAATAGTGTTATTAAAAAGTTGATTACTAAAAGATTTTTATTTTTCATCATTCATACCGAGTCGGAGTCGGAATCACATGTTTTATGAGCAATATTACCTGATTATAGTTTAAGTCCTATTACCTATTTTACCTATCGCCAATTGGGCGTCACAATGCTTGACATTATTTGAAATAGGACTAGCGGCCGCCCGCGACTTCGTACGCGTGGATCCTGTTTTACCCCCTTCCCGAATTTTCTTTGCTATAAACCTCACGGAGCCCGAGACCTTTCCAACGAATGCAAAACCGTGGAAATCGGTTCGTGCGTTCTGGAGTTATAGCGTCAGGGAGGAAAACCCGACTTATTTTTATATAGTAGATGTGCACTAAAACGATTACGACTGAAATAGATATCACAGTTTTTAGTTTTTTCGTTGTTTTCGTGCAACATAGAACAATATTATGTGCATAGTTATTAAACATTTTTAATATTGCTACACACGGGTGCTAATTTGTAGCCTACAGTACCTACCTACTTATCTGTCAGTTACAATCTTTACCGTATCGTTAAATTTATGTAGATATACAATCCAATTTTTCAGCCCATTTATTTAATAGCTTTTTTAATGCAATTTCACGGCTTTCTACATAATTACATAAATAACAATAACTGATAAACAGCTGATCTTATCGATCGCGGACGTCAATGATAGCGAAGAAAACTGTCAAGGACGTCACAGTGACTTAAGGTGAATGTGCACTACAGCACTTACTTGTAACAGAACATCGAGTCGCTCTAATGACTCGCGAACGGTACGACACGACACGCTTGAAGTTTAGTTGCAAATTAATTTTGTAGACCAACGTGCGGTTTGTTATGAAACTACATAATTATGTACTTGTACATAATGTATTGAAATTCAATTATGAATAGAGGAAAGGCACGAGCTCAAGCAAAATGTGTAGGGGTAGTCTTACTTGTAGAGACGTTAAAAAGTACTTACTCTATCTTAATTTCCACTCTCTCTCTCTATCAATTTTGTGTATAAATAAAACGTTACCATGTTGCAATCAAAACTTTTTACCAATCTGTAAAGGTAGTTTTGATGCTTTAAGGCTAAGATGCACCATCTTAATTGAACTCTAGCAAACGTCAAAATTAAGTCAAACTCCATACAAAAAACACCGGTCATCATTTAGTTACGGTCTTACGGTTAAAGTAAATTTGTGCAACTCTGCCTATGAGTTTTGTCTATATCATATACCTATTTATATTATCAAGTAGATAAGCTCGAGAAAATGTAATCTATAGTCACCTTTATCAGCAACAACTTGCACCGCCTTATAAGGAAATGTTGGTTTATCATTGAATATTAAATCGGCTATCTTTATTGATCTGATCGAAATAAAATTCTGATATGATTAGAGAGGGTATGCATTTTTAAAAGGTATATTTTTTTCTTGCATAAACAAATTGATAAAATTACCACCGCTGTAATAATATGTTTTGAATAACGCATCTTTCAGCGTGCGTAGAGAACTATAGGTACTTTTAAAAAAGCTCAAAACTTGAGCTTAAACCGACCTTTCTGAAAAAGGTGACAATCTTCTTATCAATAAAGTCGTTGGTAGGTAGGTACATAGAATTTTTCAGTATAATTTAATGTTTTTGGAAACCAATAGGAAAAGACATAAACACGTCTAAAGAAATAGACTAAGGTAGAGGTAAATAAATATTAATGTAACGTTCGTGTTTTTCCACCACATTTAGAGGACTCCAGAGAGTTTTACTGGTGTTACTTACGTTCTCAGGATCCAGGATAATTCCCGCTGTTACATTTACTATGCTATTACTTTTAATTGTCTTGACTTGAGCTCTTTTGTTCTTACTTTGTTATTTATTTATCAGATAACTATTTGAGCTCTTGCGATGTGACTTTTTTGATGTGATCGATTTTCAGGGGTAATTATGATGAACCGCGTGGCGTCCAACGTGCTTGACTGTACAGTACAGTCGGCATCAAATGTTCGTGACACCAAAGTGGTCAATAAGTTGATGACCCGTCATCAGTCTATAATGTTGAGTGTCATGAACTATTTGACGCTGACTGTATTATAGTCTGTACTGTCAATAAGTTCGCAACACTCAAAATTGTAGACTAGGGATGTTATGGATATGTAGTTTCGGTTATGGATACGGTTACGGATATATTTTTATTTCGGATATCCGAAAGTTTCAGTTACGGTTAGGTAGATTAGGTGCTTTAGAATGCAATTTGCAATAGTTGTCCGAGAAGGTTTATTCACGGCCACACACTTTACATCGAATAAAAAGTAATAAACAAATAAAAATTGATACTAGATTGCATTATAAAGATAAATCAGGCTGTTATGCCTTTACATACATACATATTATAATGCTATACAAAAAACATAAACTGCCTACGTCCGAAACTATCCGAAACTTTTGAATCGGTTACCTACGGTTACTTACAGTTTCGGATATTTTTTTATTTCGGATATCCGAAAGTTTCGCTTACGGTTACGGATATCCATAACATCCCTGTTGTATACTAATGTCGGTTATCAACTTATTGACCACTTTGGGTGTCACGAACTATTTGTTGCTGACTGTACATAGAATGTAGAACAAACAGTTTTCCCGTTCCACGCATTAGGCCCCAATCACATAACGCGTGTCGTTTGAACCCAACAATCGTACCTGCGCTACGTAACGTTTCGGTACGCTAGCTCTTTACATGCGCGTGCGCATCCGGCGTGTTGATTTATTATGTCCGAACGATGCTATCTTTTGGGGTACGTTTCCACTAAACGATAGCCTTGAGTTTTATAGACAACGGAAAATTCATCTAACACTCTAACTCTTACGTTGCTGTAATAGGTGATATTTTGCAACGAAACTGAATTCTGTGGGATTGTATTTTGAAAAAGGCGATATCTTAACAAGCCCGTAACTGGAAAAAAGCCGTAGTTGTTTGTTTATACAAACTATCTAGAGACGATGGTCTTTGGGGCAGAAAGGTTCTCGAGTGGCGACCACGGGCTGGAAGACGTAGCGTGGGCAGGCCTCTTACTAGGTGAACCGACGATCTGATAAAAGTCGTGGGAAGAACTTGGATGCGGGCAGCGCAGGACCGTTAATTGTGGAAAGCCTTGGAGGAGGCTTTTGTCCAGCAGCGGACGTCATTTAGCTGAAATGAACGAACGATGGAACATCTTAGGAGCATGGTGTAAGAAATATGAACGCACTGGAGTGACTGGATACTATAACTTAATGCTGAACTAATTTTAAAGACTAACGCCTTTACATAACCCAAAACAGTAAATTAAAAACAATTAGTGCATTATCTTCAGCTGATATCTTTCTGCACGTGCGATAGTGTATAAATAACGCTTATTAAGGTTATCAGAACATCTTAAAACGGGAAATAAGCAGACCTTTACCTTATGGTAGAGGTTTTAGTTGGTGAAACTAAGGTAGAGCCCTTATTGGTGAAACTTATGGGAAACTGCAGGTCTAAGGCCGAATTGGTCAGAGGTGGTGGTAGTTCAATGTCTAATAGGCAAGTGTCACTTTTATGCAGTTCAAATTTTAATGTTAAAAACTATGGCATACCTTTTAGGATTCCAAAATACCAAATGTGTTTTCAAGATTGTTATATCCTTGCAATGTTTATGTTTCACGTTTAAAAGAATATAATGTACGTAAAGAATGATTCCGTATTTTCCTCCAAAATGATGAACACGATGGAAGAAGTTGATGATAGTGATGATGATAAAGCTTGATATTTCAGGTGTGATCTCTGAAGATTTTTATGCCATATCCTCGTAAATATGAAAGCAAGAGTCTTGTGATCATAGCTTCTGCAGAGGAAGAAATCCATTAACACACCTAAAAAAGTCTGTCATAGTGAAATGGAAATGCCATGAGCAGACTACCCAAAAAAATCATGGACACGACATTTATCTAACATTTATGGGCAAATATCAGCTATATGCCGGTCAGTGAAACTGCTGAAGGTCGGTGCACAATATTAATTGTGTCAGGTGGCCAGCGGACCGTGGTTTATGATGCTAGCATATTATTATATGAACGTGGTCTTTAGGCAAGAGGATTTTAGGGGAAATCGTGTAAAGGATATGACCCTGTTCCTGAATTAAGATTTTCAGCTTGAGCGTGCTCATCTTCTTATAATCAAGGATGAATTTAATATGAGCAGTTTACNGCCGACGCCGCCGCCGCCGAGGTCAAAAAGTCGGCGCGCCGCCGCCGGCCAATTTTATATCGGCGCCCACCTCTACTCTTAATGCGTTTAGTTACACGGATCACAAATATTGAGGGTGTCCCATATTCCATTTGCAGTATTTTAAATGTATATTTTCAATGATGCGTTTAGTAACACGAATCACAAATATTGAGGGTGTTCCATGTTCCATTTACAGCATTTTAAATGTATATTTTCAATGACAGTCTTTCTCTGGCTGTTTGAAATAAACCACAGCGTTCAAACGTGGTCAGCAGACCGTGCTGTTGTATCAACAGCCTAACAAGTCCATGTCGCGTCATTGTTGCAAGTGTATACGTGACCTATATTAGCAAACATATTATGTACTCGGTGTTTTTCTGCTAATGTAATAAAGTAGATAATGTACACGAAGTACATTATTATTCTGTGCTAGTACTGCTAGGTATATAAGTACCTTTTTGCTGCGAGCATTTCGGTGTATCACAGTATTCAGCAAATATTTATAATACAGAGTTTTCCATAATTAGCATGTCACACTGAAATTGGGGGTAACTGCGGACCTGAGACGCATCGAAATAGCATAATTATGTTCATAGAAAAGTTTCGTGAGTTTTGAGATATGAACAATTTTAGTTACTATACTTGTTTGATACGTCATTTAGGCCATTTTGGGACACACTGTATACTTATACCATAATGGCTTCGAATTATTGCGTAAGGATACGGTTTTAATTGATTACATTAATTATGCTTCAAGTTTTAGTTGTTATGAATAAAAACACTAAAAAATAATAGACAGCAACACTTTCATTTCGTCTAGTTTTAGGATGATTTCTCTTAATTTAATCTAGAATTGCGTGCTGCCGAATAATACATCAGAAAAACTACTTATAATAATGTGTAAATTGAGTTAATTAGAAAATTAACCTAAAATTAGTTTTGGTTCGTAGTAAGTGGTAAATAAATAGCGATTTCTGTGGTAGTCTAATTAACACTTGAAGTAAATAAAATAAATAAATGACTAGAGGCATAAAACTAACGTTAAGAACTAACAAGGTGGACCGACGACATCATAAAGGTAGCAGGAAAGCGCTGGACGCAGGTCGCTACCAATCGGGTAACATGGAAAGCATTAGGGGAGGCCTATGTTCAGCAGTGGACGTCCTATGGCTGAGATGATGACGATGATGATTATAAAACTAACGATTATGATTCCTATTTTAAGATAAAGGTACATAAATAGGCGCGTTTTATGTCTCAATGGATCAAGGAATAAATACGGCGTTATCTTCGAGTGGTTTAAGCGTTGTCAATAATGTTATGCAGGAATATCTATACATCTGCCAATTCACAAAGACAAAGTGGTTCAAATAAGTTTATTGTAGAGTCGCATCATGTGTGATCGGCACAAGAATTACCTATTGCAGCTAAGATAAACATCCATAAGGCGCTCCAGCACTGGAAGTATATGTAATATAACAGTTTTAGTGAGTCTAGTGCGTAAACTACCGCACAGAACTCGACCGTCGACTACTCTGGACCGCATTTTCAGGGATAAATGTAGCTTAAGTAACCACCTACTACTGCTACTGCACCTATGGCGGTTCATGAAGTCTGCCACCATGGCCGCATGGTTGTGGCCTCAAGTGTCCCACCCAAAGAGTCGAGGAAAGTCCATTAATGGATCCTGACTGTTGGATCTTACTTACCGTAGTCTTTTGTTTACTTCCAGCGGCACCACGCCGGCATCTCGCAGTCGTCATGCAGCGACGGCTCCCTACTGAGCGTCGGCTCCTCCGAGATAGACGAGGACAGCAGCAGCGGCCACCACCACTCGCACGACCACTCGCGGAGCGACCACTCAGACTTCTACAGTAAGTACCTTTTTTTTTCGTCAGGAAATTCATGAAATTGCATACCCACTGGCCCGGGGGAACCAGTGAGTTATGTGACGCTCACTAAAACCTGACGGTGTCCTCCCGAAGTCTTTGGGACGGAGCTGCGAGTTATTGTCCGAGCTAGACGGCCTAGACATTCTTTCGCGGCTCCGCCCCATCTACAGTAAGTACCTTATGACAACTGGAAGACGTAGTGTGGGCAGGCCTCCCACTAGGTGGACCGACGATCTGGTCGTCGCGGGAGGTGCCTGGATGCGAGCGGCGCAGGACCGGTCTTTGTGGAAGCCTTTGTCAAGCAGTGGACGTCTTTCGGCTGAAACGAACGAATGAACCTTATGACAGTGGTCATCATCATCAGCCATAGGACGTCCACTGCTGAACTCAGGCCTCCCCCATTGATTTCTATAATGACCCATTGGTAGCGGCCTGCATCCAGCGCCTTACTAATAAGATAAGAATAAATAATAAATAAAAATTCATTTATTTCCAAATATACTTGTACAGAGTTATTACCGAGTCTTCCCGGTAAGTAGTCAGAGACACTTGTATTGGGAATAACTCGCTACTTCCCATTAGGATATCTCTAATTAATTCTAGGAGTATTAGTTCACTAAGTAAGCATAAATTTACTTTGGTATGTAAGAAAATTACAGCAGTATATTGTAATAAGTTATGGTTGATTACTGACTCTCTTTCATTGACATAGGAAGATTTACTTACGCTCAATGATAGTATATTAAAAAAGAAAAGAATAGGATAATGCTCGTTATGTGTGGTTGTGTGTAGGAGTGTGAGTGTGAGTGTGTAAGTGTGAATGTGTAAATGTGAGTGTGAAGGTGTGAATGTGTAGTATATGTATTCGTTAAAGCATGAATAATATGAACAGAGATATATATATCAAGATAAGATAATCATTTATTGTCTTTTCTATGTAAGTACATTGGTTGACCTGCTACCTTTATGAGGTTTATTACAGTGGTACCACGTCGTATCATGGCTGATATCTGTGGAACCTTATTTATTCATTTTATATGTGTGATGTATTTCCAAGAATAAACACTAACAAACTTTGTAGACCTTGAAGGTAGGAACGACGAGTTTAATGTTTAAAATTAAGTTTTACACCTATGTTTCACAATTTAATTTTTGGCTCGCATCCACTCTTGAGTACCTACCTAAGTATCATATTGAAATACGAAACTTATAAAAACCTCGTCTCCATTCCAGACTCATCTGAACCACCAACGGGGGTGGCGCCACTGTCGCATTCGGCTGCCAAACACAAAATGGCGGTGCGTCCGCGGCGCACACATGGCGCGCCCAGGCGGAAGAAAAACAACCCAGTTAGTATTAATTATAATTTAAATTCTTTATTAGTATGTAGGTTATCTTCAGGGCACTTATACACGTCCAATTCAGCTTGCTCTATCACCACATAGTGACAACATGTCGGCTGGAGCTGAGAAGTGGCTGAAGAAAGTAAACTTATGTCCGTTTTCACCATCAATCCCTAATTTTTAAGTGACTCCTATGGTAACGCAGAACAGGAATTTGGTATTCATAGGGGTCACTTAAAAATCAGGGATTTATGGTGAAAACGGGCATTAGTAGTAGTAGGCATTAGAAGCGTAGTTCGTGAAGCCCTTGTCTAGGGTTGAGTGATGATAGTCAATGGAATCACCTATCCAATATAGCACAGCACAGCAACTGTTCAACAAGTATTATTTTATTACATTTTGTCATGCGTGTGCGCTTTTGTGCAATATAATAAGTTTCGTTCATTATTTTAATAAAATCAATACTTACTTGCGATTACCTGATAAAGGGTGTTATGATAATGTTTAAAAATAGATTTGAATCGTATGTAAAGAGCACCTCCGGTAGGAACTTATCTCTAAAACCAATTAAAAAAGCAAACGTAAGAAGAAAGAAATTTAGGAATAAGGACATTTGTTTACAGCAAAACTATAATAAAGTCATAAGTTTCTAGTGCATTAATATGTCTCTTAATTAGCGAAATTGAAGATAAAAAGAATTATATCTGAATGTTTACCTAATTATTTATCATCAACTTTCAGATAGCCGCATCAGCCTTGCCAATAACGCCCGAACTGAACGAAGAAGTGATACGAAGCACTACTCCTGAAGTCAGCCACAAAACCTCAGAAGTCGTTACTGGTACGTATTTGTTGAAACATGATAATGATTAATGTTATATCGACGGTAGTATCATATCGGGATTATTCCCACCATTCGTTCCCACCGCTGCAACTCTTGTGTAGTCAGGATCTACAGCAAGGGAAATTAAAACTGGCACTGGATTCGCAACGAAATTAATCAGAAGAATAGGAGGAGTTCGAAGTTAAGGTTCGAGTTCCTATATTGTAGCATCATCACAGATGCTATTTGCAACATAAAACATACAATCTGATGTGATCTCGACTGTATAGTATATACCATATACACATACCACTAAGAAATCCCAGAATGAAAGGATGTCTTGTCTCGAAACGCCCATAGTCATGCACGAGAAAGTTTATCATTACTCGCTCAAACATCTTAATTTATATAAAATAGCCACTTTATTAAATGACTTCCTTCAGAATTGAAAGATAATCTTCTTAAAACCATCGTATCTCATTCCAGAATCATTCTCTTCATCGACCACTACGAAGCATACAGTCAAGCAGTCAGAGCAGTCGCCCTCCCGGGACTCGCGGTCCAGCGACGCCAAGCTCAAGTCGTCCTCGCTTCCCCCAGGGCTGGCCCTCCACGCTCCCGCGCGTCTGTCCCTCGCCAGGGCCTCCGTCAAGCGGTCCCAGTCCGGCGCCGCAGACCCCGCCCCCGAAGACAGACCGCCCAAGTACCGGGACAAAACAGAATGCCCCGAGAAAAAGTCCAAATCCGAAAAGAAAATCGAGAACGAAGTCATCAAGTCCACCAAAAAAGAAGAGTCGTTCTTCAGCAGATTGTTGCTACGGAAGAGCGGTAAGAAACCAAAGAAGGACCAGACTGATGGGGAGCAGGATGTTAAGAGATCCAAGATGGAGAAAGCGAATGCGCTGTACAAACCTGTTGATGCAGAGAGAGGTTTCGCCTTCGGGGAGGGATATCGACCAGTTCCCGCTGAAAGGACTCACAAGACCGCCGGCCAGAAGGCTTTCGCTAACCAGATGCATAAACGCCTGGACAATAAAGGTGGCTACGTCCACGACGGTGCTTATAAAGACGTCTACAGCGCAGCCAAGGTCCCCGGCGTAGAATACGACATCACAGATCTCAAGGTCGCGGAAGAAACCGACAAAATGCTCAATATGAATATGAGGAACCCGTACAGAAGAGATGAGTTAGATCGCCCGAAGCGGACGCCCTCTAAAGAGGCCATCGACGAAACTAAAAGGGAATCCTTCAACTTACACCACGATAAATCCAAAAGGCCGCTGTCCGTGCAACGGCTGATAGACCCTACAAAAGCCTTTATTGCTAACGAAGTAGCCACTCGCGCGCAGGAAGAGTTGGTGTCTCCGACTCTTGTGATCTCAGATGAAGAGCCTCCGACCAGGGCGATGAGGATCAAGACTGCTCACAGCGACTATAGTTTCCACAGCGGGAGTATGCCCAAGAACATCCCATACTTCAATCCGGGACTGGTCGTGTCTGCTTCTCCGCCGAAAGCCTTGCGTCATCAGAGCTCAGAGAACATCAGAAACCGCTCGTCGGAACACGTTTCCGAATTCGCTGAAAAGGTGGAAACTAAACGGACTTCGAAGACTGACGAGTGTTTTGTCAGCTCGGGACTGAGATCTCTCGGGGATGAGTATGTGGAAAGCCGCAGCAGCATCGGCAAGTCCCACAGCTTCCGGTACGCGTCTGAAACGACATCTCTCAGCTCGCAGGAGAACCAGATGCCGAGTCTGCCGGCCATAGTCGGGATATCCGAGCCCCTTCTGGAAAGCTGGGAGGTCAACTACAGGCGAAACGTTAGCGACAGACACGACTTCTCCAAAAGAGTGTCCGCACGAAACTACAACATAATGCATGGGACTGCTGAAGCCACTTACGACAGCCTTCCCAGCACGGACAGCAGTTATCTGGACAGCCTCAAAACTGACGTCAACGAAGACCGAAAGCTGTTTACCAACAGCATCCACATCACAGTCGATAGCCACAAGCGAGACAGCGACATATCGCAGATTGAGGCCAAAATCGATGACATAATCAGCTCACCCAAGCCCATTATTGCCCCAATACTCAAGTCTAGTTCATTAGATAGCGTTAAGAGCAGTCCCGAGAGACCAGCGGATGACAGAAGAAAGACCATTTCGGTCGAGAGCGCTTTAAGCCACGGTGGAAAGGTCGGAAACATCCAGAAGGAAATCAAGCAGGACACAGAAAGCTTTGTGTCAGTGACTCATATCAATAAGGAGCAGACTCCGGTGCTGAACAAAAACGCTGATGTTTCGAAAGGGAAAAGTGAGGAGAAAGTTCATAAAACCGGCACCAAACCGGGTGTGCCGGAGTTTCTCAACATTCAGCTGAACAAAGTAGATGCAAAACCCGCGACTAACATCGTGCTAACAGCCAACGTAACGCCAAAGAAACCAGATAGTCCCCCAGCCGATAAGGAACAAGAAACAGAGGCAGTCCAGCCTACTGAAACTAAGCCTAAAAGCGTCCCGGTCCGAAAGGAATCTGTGACCAGCAAGACTGACGTCGTCGTCGAAAATACTCAAGAGGAGAAACCTGCTTCTCCTGCATTTATTAAAAAATCGGTTCCACCGGTCACTCCGCAGAGTCCTTCCACGCCCAAAAACTTCTTCAAAAGGAAAGCGACCAGCGTCGAATTACAGGACAGGCCAGAAAAGCCGCGAACCAACTCGATGAGTACCGATGGAAGTACGGAGAGGATCTACGACAATATTTCTATGGACCAAAAATCTCATTCGAGTTTTGGGAGTAAGAGTTCCATTCAGAGCACGGACAGCAACGAGGTCCGGACTCCAGATAGGCAGGAGGAGGCCGTCATATATCGCAAGAAGCCTGTTATATTGGCAAAGGAGTTCCGCAGCAGCGAAAGGCGGAACGACGACGAGCCTGAGCTGATGAAAGTGTTCGCGCGCCGATCTCTGAAGCTAAAAGACTCCGAAGCGGACAACCTAGCTCAGGAAATCGCCGAATCTAAAGAGGCCAAAGACGCGAAGGACGAGATCAACGACAACATCACAGCGACCAGATCGAAAATACTCAAGAACGAATTCAACGCGTCAATTAAATCCCGGGACAGCGATAAAGAAAACGAGGACCTATCGAAGGAGCAAACTGAGGAAAAACGGATCGTCGACATCGCCGCGCGAGTCAGTCAGTTCGGAGTGCCTCACTATCAAAGAAGCGTCAGCATAAACAGCGTGTCGAACCCTAAAAGGGAATCCGCTCCCGTCTACCGGAGCGAGGTCAACAAATACAAGAAGGAGGTGTCAGATTCGACGCCGGAGAAGCGTTTGCGGAACAGGACGTTTCCCGATCCATCGAACGACAGAGAGGATATAAAGAGTATAACGAAGAGTGAGGCGATGGCGTACAAAGCTGATACTTTGAGGGTGTGGCAGAGGCGGGAGGGGGAGTCGCGGGAGACAGGGGGGCGAGGGGATGGGAGGGGGGAGGCGGTGGGAGAAGGGGGGAGGGAGGGGGAGGCGCCGGCCTTCCGCGGCATCGTGCAGATGCGAGCCGAGTGGGAGCGCCGCGCGCAGGGGATGACCAAATAAACTGGTGCTAGTTTCAAGGTATACATTTGAATAATCACTTTTATATTCCTCCTGCATGTCTTTTAAGGGCATGCCGAACTTGCGTAGAATAGACATGTTGACACCACAGCCAATTTACTTTTTAAAACTGTCAAAACGAAACTCTCCCATACATTTTGTATGGCACTACAAGCAAGTGACGTCACTATTTTGTCAACCCAATTAAACTACTTTTTTTCAATACAATTCGAACAAAAATCGAAATTTACAGGTAATTTAAAATAAATTAGGTTTTTAAGACCAGAATGAAGAGTCTTTTTAGAACAGTTGTGGTTTCGAATTATTGGGGTATGGTGTCAAACTGTCTATTCAAAATTAATTAGTGAGTAAGCCCTCTTCAGGGTAAATAAATACCCTGAAAACACATCCCGTATAGGTATGACATTAAAGACACGTTATCTTGTCGTTCCGATTGAGCCATGTCAGATAACTGCAGGCCATTAAGCTTGCTTGTGATATTTATACAGGGTGTTAGGTAAATGGGTATGTATATGAGCCGACACTAGCCCATGTTAACATGGTCATATAAATGGTATGATGAAGTCAGAAAATTGATATCTTCATTTTAATTATTTTATTTTTCATACAAATCGGATTTTATAAAATTTATTTTATATGAAAATAAAAAAAAAATAAAATGATGACATCAAATTTCTGACTTCACCATACCATTTATATGCCCATGTTAACATGGGCTAGTGTCGGCTCATATACCCATTTACCTAACACCCTGTATACTTACTCCATATTAATAGCAAGACTATCATAATGTAGGATCTCAAAATTTATATTCTTTGACTTTTTCGGGCTAGAAGAAAAGAAAATTTTTTTCTACTAAACCGGTAGTTTTTTGACTATACGTTGTGATCTAAACCCAGGATTTTCTTAGGGTAAACATGTCAACGTTGTACTAATATTTGTTTTTTGCTTTCAGGAAGTTGAGAGTACCATGCTGTATACAACTTGTAATGTTATTATAGTGATAAATCTAGTTTAGCGACAAACAGACGTTTTCTAAAACTTATGTTATTATTAACTACTCTATAAAATTTATCTAAACTGTTAAGACCATGTATTTTTGAGTGTTACTTATTACAATAATAGCGGATAGTTCTATTTTATTAAAAAGATAATATTATGTATTAAACATTAAAAACTGTGAATTACAAATTTTATTCCTATAGTTTTAAGTTGTTTTATTTTTTCTCCCTCATTTTTGTAGCTTGTTTATTTAAAGAAAAACCTTTTCCCTTTTCCCTTTTAATTTCATCCCCTAGTGAAAGACTTATTATTTAGATATCTGAGAACAATAAATATTTAATACAATGAACACTTGTTTTAATTGTAATCATTCTTCGGTACGCGATATTAAAACAGTGCAATTTTTGGTCGTTTAATTTGTAGTCTTAAATCTTATTTGTATTGGAATTAATTTCTTAGCACACTCCAAATTCCATAAAATACCAAAATCGACAGTATTTTTAACAATTTAATAAAAAAGAAAATGGAAAAATATTTTATGGCGCTTTAACAAAATTAAATAATTTACAAATAAATACATTTTATTTCCTTTTTTTGTAACATTCAGTTTTTTGCAAGACCCGAAAATTTAATTCATGGCTACTTCAAGCTTTATTGTTTTAAAAAACTACGACCGAGAAAAATAAAAACTTATTTTGGCAAGTTGAAATTCGATATTAATACAAATTAAGTTCTTAGTTCGGTACTGCTTTTTTAATATTTTCCTACCTAATTAAAAATGTATTAAATTAAAAGTCTGCCGACTCATAAAAACTTGGTCGGTTTTCCGTTTTTTTTCACCAGTTCACAAACATTGGGCAAAATAACGCCGCGCAAACCATAAAAAAAAAGTTTGAAATGAAAGGCTTTCACATAGTGTAAGAAAACCCCGCTAGATGTCTCTGCATTTTATTTCTACCCAACGACGACTGTTTCAAACAATATTTTTAAAAATCGAATTCGATTATTGCGTCTTTGTTTTACTTTAAACTTGACTTCGACGTTATCCAAGTCGTGTTAAATTTTGTCATTTATAAAATCCGATTTATATTTTCAATCCGACCATTTTGTATTATCTATGGTATTATCAGAGGGTGTAAAAGCTACCCCACGCGTAATTTCTAAGCCGGGGCGAGCACGCATGCGCGTAACTCCCCGTCTCCATCTAACCCCAATAACTTGAGAGCGTTCAGACTCCATTTTATATTTTCATTTATCCTCCATATTCTGTACAAATTATTTAGTCGTGTGTTACAATTAGTACAAATTGACTTTAAATCGTTGGAAAGACTCAGTGCTGTGTTACCGGTAGAACTAACATTGGTGATTGAAAAACTCGAGTTTGTGCTTACGTAATATTTTTTTTGCAAATTCTACGGTTGTGCAAGGCGAAGGATAAGACGTGAGGTAAGAAATCATTACTTTTACTTATTTTTAAACAATAGTATGTTAATAAAAGAGGTTCTTATTCTTCTACCCTCGACCTCTTCAGGTCACACATTGATTTTTACTTAAACTTTCGTGCCATAAAGCGAACCGTAGACAAAACAATTCTATAAGACGAAAGAACGACCACCATACGTTTTTAGACCTTATAGTTAGCGATTACAGGAGATTTTTATTTGACAAAAAAGTGGAGGTTGCTCAGTATTAGGAACGCAATAATATTATGTCATGTGCGTATATACCCCTGAAAGTTTAATATCGGTGGGATTAAAGGAAAGTGAAGCTGCGGCCTTAGATATTGCTATGGCATTGGTATTTTTTTTATCCTCATTTTACTTTGATGTACACAATATGTACCTACCATATTTTCATGAGCAATAAGGTGGGTAGATAAGTAATCAATGATTATATTTAAGTAAGTAGTAGGTAGTAATGGAATCCTTTGGACGTAATAAAATCATCACAAACTGGGAATAAATGTGAAAATTGATTGTATGATAGACGACAGTAGATCAATCTCAATCCTGTGACGTCTTCTGTAGTTAAAATTACGTACTATTTCGCAACAAAATTTGCAAGTACTTTCATAAATTATTATATCATAATTATTTATATCACACAAAAGTCTATCGTAGGTAGTTTGAAAAACAACAGTCGTAGATATCGATTGCTAAGATCTCTATGTATAACGGGTAGTCATCATCACGATGAAGAGTTGAACATGCATTACAGACGACGGCACATCGTGCTACACTGAGATAGGTATCTTCGTTCGTTCGTTTCAGCCGAATGACGTCCACTGCTGGACAAAGGCCTCCCCCAAGTATTTCCACAACGACCGATCCTGTGCTGTCGGTAGGTATCTTATGTAATTGCAATAGATGCGATTTTGCGACAAAAATATTATGTAATGTGACGTGCTGTCCAGCAAATAATACTATCATCTGCGCACGGCTTCGTTTCCGTATATTATCGGTCACAGAAAATCTTAAAATCTATACTAATATTATAAAGCTAAAGAGTTTGTTTGTTTACTTGAACGCGCTAATCTCAGGAACTACTGGTCCGATTTGAAAAATTCTTTCAGTGTTAGATAGCCCATTTATCGAGGAAGGCTATAGGCTATACCATCACGCTACGAGTAATAGGTGCAGAGCAAAAATTAAATATGTTGCGACGCTCACGCGTACGAAGTCGCGGGAACAGCTATAGTAGATAAAAGTAGAATAAATACGTATAATAGTACGCCATACAATATAAAACGAATTGAAACAGCACAATTTATGCGCTCTTATCGCTAGAAAGCGATATCTTCTAGAAAACCCCGCGAGGGCCATTATCACGCTTCCTTGTGGTCAAAAACTTTCCGTTTCTTTCAGCCTAATGACGTCCACTGCTGGACAAAGACCTCCCCTAAGGATTTCCACAATGACCGGTCCTGAGCCGCCCGCATCGAGGCACCTCCCGCGATCTTCACCAGATCGTCGGTCCACTTAGTGGGAGGCCTGCCCACACTAGGTCTTCCAGCTCGGCAATACTTTATTATAACCAATTACATAATGAAATTTGAAATCTGTACCAAAACTTACATCCCATATGATCAACGGTGTCGGCACCGAACTGTCGATTTTGAAGGTCACTAGTTCGATTCCCGGGACTGTAACTTTATAAGTGGATAAGGTGCCTTGCCAAGTAGGTTATTGTTTTCTTACTTGCTCTACCGAATTAAATAACTTTATTGATGTCAAAGTGAAACGTTTGGAGCCGATATAGCAGACTGACAAGACTCAATCTGAAAAAGCAAAGCCCTACTTTACCCTACTTGGTGGGCCAAGTCGCTGAAAGACTAAGCCCTACCGGACTCGGAGCCACCACAAACTGATTATGTCACTTTGTTGACACACTGGGGAATCGAACCCCAGACCTGCAGATCACATGACCCCTTCTAACCACTGAACCAAAGCGTCTTGTCTTAAAATAAATGAGCCCATTACGCATCTAATCAAACGAGTAGGTACGCGTTTTTAATTAGTCCACATACATTACCTACCGTAAAACGTCTAATTGCTTTGAAATTAAAAGGGCGGAGGGTTGACCCGCTTCAGACTTGAAAGGGGTAGCGATTCTAAATGCTCACCTACTTACTCGTTATAATTGCAGAAATAAAAAAAAAGTCGGTTCGTGTTTGTAAAGATATTTTTTGCGTTGTGTTCCTTTTTAGATCATCGTCATCGTTCATCACTTGTGATCTTGATCTACATTTTATTTTAAATTAAGGCACATGGTAGCAATTCCGTCAATAATATTATTGTTTTAATATTAGGCTTGTGGAGCGTGTATGGATGTGTCGGGTTGAGTGTGAGGATGATGAGGTTAAATAATTATAGAGACGATTAAACACGGTCAATACCAAATACACACTGATTTATTGTTATAAGTAAATATCGTGCAAGGCCGTTTGACGANTTTTTTTTCGATGTACATACCCGTGTGGGGTATCAATGGAAAGGTCTTTTAAAATGATATAAAGTTTTCTAAAAAACATTTTTCTTAAAGTGAACGGTTTTTGAGATATCAGCTCTCAAAGTCGTAAAAAGTATGTCCCCCCCCCTCTATTTTTATAACTACGGGGTATAAAATTCTAAAAAAAATAGAGGTGATGCATGCTAATTAACTCTTTCAACGATTTTTGGTTTGATCAAAGTATCTCTTATAGGTTTTGAGATAGGGTGATTTAACTGTTGCTGCTACGGAACCCTTTGTGCGCGAGCCCGACTCGCACTTGGCCGGTTTTTTATCCTCATTTTACTTTGATGCCAGTGATGCCACACAATATGTATGTACCTACCATACTTTCATGAGCAATAAGGTGGGTAGACAAGTAATCAATGATTATATTTAGTAAGTAGTACCTACGTAGTAATGGAATCCTTTTGACGTAATAAAATCATCACAAACTGGGAATAAATGTGAAAATTGACTGTATGATAGACGACAGTATGTAGATCAATCTCAATCCTGTGACGTCTTCTGTAGTTAAAATTACGTACTATTTCGCAACAAAATTTGCAAGTACCTTCATAAATTATTATATCATAATTATTTATTTCACACAAAAGTCTATCGTAGGTAGTTTGAAAAACAACAGTCGTAGATATCGATTGCTAAGATCTCTATGTATAACGGGTAGTCATCATCACGATGAAGAGTTGAAAAAGCATTACAGACGACGGCACATCGTGCTACACTGAGGTAAGTAGGTATCTTCGTTCGTTGAAACGGCTGAAGCCGAATGACGTCCACTGCTGGACAAAGGCCTCTCCCAAAGATTTCCACAACTACCGGTCCTGTGCTGTTGGTAGGCCTTATCTTGTGTAATTGCAATATGTAGATGCGATTTTGCGACAAAAATGTGTAATGTGACGTACCTACTATTCAGTACTGATAATACTAGCATCTGTGCACACGGCTTCGTTTCCTTATATTCGATCGGTCATAAAAATCTTAAAATCTATATACAGTGTGAGTCACGTTAAAGTGTACATATGAAAATAGATGAAACTAGACCTATTTTTATCGACAAAAAAGAGGTCAAAAATTTTTTGAGATTTTTTTTAAATTTTTTATAGAATTTTTTTTCTTCCAATTTCTTATTGTAAAGAAAACGTAATAACTTTTAAACTAAGCGGTATATCCTGATAAAATAAAAACAATAATAATGCTAAATAACAGGCAATACTAAAAAAAATACATAAAATACACAAAAAAGGCCAACAAATAATAAAAAATGATAATTTTTGAAAAAAAAACTGCTTAAAAATTCCTGTTTTTTTGGTTATTTGATAAATTTCTCTAAAAAATGCCCCTATAACTGGTAGTTTTTATTACTTTGTATTATTCTCTATCGTATTACCTTCGTAAAACGAAAAATCGCATGTCTCTATCCCTATCACAACGTTTGCAATGATCGTTTGAACTAAGCCTCTCCGGGCGCGCCATTCAACGCTTCGTTAACAACAAAACTGAAAATGGCTCTAGATTTGTAATTTTGATAAAGACAAGTTAGATTTCAAATAAAAACAAAAGATTTCGAAGTAAAATAAGCATTTTAGTTAAAATTAAAATTGTCTCTACCTGTAGCGGAGAATAATGTTGTGGCAGGCCTTTGTTCAAAAACGGTCAATACCAAATACACACTGATTTATTGTTATAAGTAAATATCGTGCAAGGCCGTTTGACGACGTTTCGTTGACCTAGTTACGGTACGTTCAACCTAAGTGCCTACATAATTTCCCTCCTTTTGAAAAAAAATAAACAAGTATACACTATAAAAACAAATCAATAGATTCGTAATAAGCCTATATAAATTATACATTATTTAAAAAATGTTAAAGATAAAAAGAATGTTAAAGATTAATAATAATAAAAATACATAAGAAAAAAAAATGCCTATTTTACGTGTCTTGACGAGGATGACGCTACGATGCTGCGTTCTTCTCAAACTGCAGAGGTGGGTTGCGGTTGACGGCAGCATCTTGCGGGTAATGTTGGTGGTTGGACAGCGGCGTTGTTTGTGTGTTGTTCAAACTTGTCTTCGATCTTGTTGTCAATCTTGCCGAAGACTTTCTTGTAGAACTTCTTCTTGCAATTTTTGAACAGGAACCACGATAGCAGCAGGACGACGATGGTGAGGAGTACGCCCATGGTGATGTTGGTCATTGAGGCGCTGGCGTATGAACCTCCGGAGCCCCCGGCGTTTTGGGACACCACGATTTCTTCTTTCCAGTCTCTGGTTCCCCAGTTTCCCATGATAGCAATGGTGATGGTTTAAGATGACGACGGCGCGAGAGAAATTGATTTTAGGAAGGTGAGGTGTTGGTCGATAGGTGGTGTGATTGAATATGAGCGGTGATCTGGTGCTCGGTGGTATGCGCGTGCTTGCGTTTTGTTTAGGTTGCAAAACGAACCACAGGTCGTATGATTCTGCCTGACCGAGTTTTCAGCGGTGACGCGTTTCTGTCCGCCGATTTGATTTGACCTGGTTTTGCAGTCACTTCCGAATGTTTATTGTCACTTTTAGTGCAAGTTAATTGGTCATTCACCTCATCTTTGCATAAAATAAATGCAGGTTTTAATCTGTCCACTGTAACTATTGAGGTTTTGTTCGTCATTTGTATCTTATAATACTTGCTATGTTTCTCTAAAACTTTGTATGGGCCTTCGTATGGTGGTGTCAATGGTCTTTTTACAGCATCAGTTCGTACGAAAACATAATCACAGGAATCCATGTCGGGATGAATGTATGGTTTGTGCTTAGAGTGGTGATCACATTTGATTGGTGTCAGGTTTTCCATGGTTCTTTTTAAATCGTTGGTGTAGTTTTCTGGAGACTTGTCTTGCTTTTTCGGCTCGAAAAATACTCCTGGTATGCGGATATTGGTTCCATACAGCATTTGCGCTGGGCTGACGTTGTCACCTTCTCGAATCGCGGCTCTCAAGCCTAATAAAACGATTGGTAATTCTGTACTCCAATGTATCGTATTACCACGGGCTATGATGGCCGCTTTCATGGTTCTGTGCCATCTTTCTATCATGCCATTGGCTTGTGGGTGGTAACTTGTTGTCCTTATCTTCTTAATTCCTAACAGCTTGGTGAGAGAGATAAACAGGTCAGATTCAAACTGTCTTCCTTGATCTGACGTAATCACTGCGGGGCATCCGAAACGAGCAATCCAAGTGCTCACGAACGCTTTCGCCACGGTTTCCGCCGTGATCTCTGGAACGGGTACAGCTTCTGGCCATCTTGTCGCTCTGTCTATCATAGTGATGATGTATTTATTACTGTTTGACTCAGGAAGCGGGCCGACGATGTCTATGTGCACGTGATCTAAACGTGTTGTGGACGGAAATGTGCCTATAGGTGACGTGTTGTGACGCGATACTTTGCTTTTTTGACACGCCACACATGTCTTTGCCCATTGTCCAATGTCTGCGTTCATGTTTGGCCAAAAGTAATGTTTAGTGATGAGTTTTCTAGTTGATCTTACGCCTGGATGTGTTAAGTTGTGCATGGTGTCGAAGATGTCTTTACGTAGCTTCTTCGGCACGTACGGGCGAAGGTTTTCCGTGGAGTTATCACAATATATTTTTCTCTCATTTCCTAGTGTGATAGCTTTCAATTTGTTGTTGTTTTGGTTTATCAGCTGATGGAGTTCCGGTTCGGATTGCATGTCTGCTATCTCGTTCCAATCGACAGGTGAAGGACAGTCTATTTGTGCGATTCTTGATAATGCGTCAGCGACCGGGTTCTGGTTACCGGCTAGGTGTCGTATGTCCGTTGTAAATTGAGCGATGTATTGTAAATGACGTATTCGCCTGGGGTCGTTCAACTTTTTACTTGATGCGTTTGTTTTTGTTGTGAATGCGTGACATAATGGTTTGTGATCTGTATACACAATAAGTTCTCTTCCCTCGATGTATGGTTGGAAATGTGTCATTGCCATGTATACTGCCAGTAGCTCACGATCATACGTGCTGTATTTAGACTGAGTTTCGCTTAGGCTCTTGGAGAAAAATGATAGAGGTTTCCAGGTGTTATCTTCGTACTGTTGTAGGACCGCGCCGACGCATGTTTGTGAGGCGTCGGTCATCAAGGATAGTGGTGCTTCAGTTGATGGAGGTGTCAATGTAACGGCGTTAATTAGACTTTCCTTACACTGACTAAATGCTTCGATAGCTTCTGTTGTCCACTGAATTTTGGTGTTGTCCTTCTTCTTTGAGTTTTTGAGGTATTTGTTGAGGCATGCTTGGTATTTGGCCGCCATAGGTATGTTATTTCTATAGAAGTTTATCATACCTAGGAAACGTCGCAAGTCTTGTATGGTTTCGGGTTGTGGGTAGTTTTTGATGACTTCTACTTTCTCTGGCAATGGTTTTATTCCATCGGGCTTGATCGAGTATCCCAGAAACTCTATTTCCGATCGGCCAAATTCACATTTAGACTGATTGATGGTTATGCCGTTTTCATTCAATCTTTTGAGTACTTCATTTAGGTGGCGTCTGTGGTCAGTTTCTGATTTTGAAGCAATCAAAATATCATCTATATACGTGAAGATGAAATCTAGGCCGTAGAGCACGGAGTTAAGGAACCTGACGAACGTCTGACCAGCATTGCGTAGTCCAAATGGCATTCTAGGGAATTCGAATAGACCAAATGGGGTGATTACAGCTGTTTTCTCGATTTCTTGTACTGGGATCTGATTGTAAGCTCTCTGGATGTCTATTCGGGAATATATTACTGTTCCAGGCAGCAGATATGCGAAATCTGTCAATCGAGGTATTGGGTATCTGTCAGGAACGGTTATTGCATTTAATCTTCTGTAGTCGCCGCACAAACGCAAATCACCGTTTTTCTTCTTAACAACGTGAAGAGGGCTGGCCCAGGGACTCTTGGATGGTCTGCATAATCCTGCTTCCAACATGTGCTCTATTTCTTTCTTAACCCGCTGATATAGGTCTGTAGGTAACGGACGACATTTTGAATAAACGGGATGACCTTGGGTGATAATTTGATGTCTGACGTCGTGTTTGGGCTCGGAGAGGGCGTTCAGTGGTTTAGTAACGTTCGGGTACTTTTCCAATAAGTCAGCATACGGTTCAGCCAATTTTATTGTACGAAGTGTTGGTATGTTTGACTGAATGACTTTTCCTGGTGTCAAAAGTCCTGTTTTACCGTCGATGAGCTTTTTATTTCGTACGTCAACCAAAATGTTGTGGTGTTCTAGAAAATCTGCACCTAGAATCGGTTGCGTAATGTCTGCCACAACAAATGTCCATCGGTAAGGTCGTCTCATATTTAAATCTAGCGTCAGCGTTTTCTCGCCGTAGGTTTTTATTTCGGTTCCGTTCGCAGCGTATAATTTGTATGTCGAATTTTGTATGTTGCCTGTCCCACGTTTAGGCAGAACGGAGATATTGGCGCCGGTGTCTACCAGGAAGCGAAACCCACTTTTTCGGTCGGTTATGCATAGGCGGTTAGACGGGAGTATAGCGCTGACGACCGCCTCTGTCAACGCTGATTCTAGTTTTCCGACGGCTTTTTCCAGTTGCATGGCTTGACACAATTTCGTGCTCGATTTCTATAGCGCAGGTGATACTTGCATAACCATTTCGGGTTGTCTGGTGTTATTCTCGAGCGAGATTGTGATCTCGAACGACTTCGATCTCTGTAGTTGGAGCGGTTGCTGTTATTGTCACTGACTTGAGCTCGTAGGGCAGCTACTTCTAAAGACAGCTTATTCATTTGCGCCAGCAGCTCTATCATAACCGAAGGTTGGCTGGTGGATACTTCACATATGTCGCCTCTGCTATTTTCCACGATTTTATCAGCAATTCCAGCGAGGTTATCGAATTGTTGATCTTGACTGACGGTAAGGACAGCGCGAACGTGAGGTGGAAGTCTTGAAGTCCATAAGTTAAGCAGCGTTTTATCGGGAACATTTGTATTTTTGGCGAGCTCTTTCATACGGCGTAGTAGTTGAGATGGTTTTTGATCGCCTAACTCCATTTCACTCACTAGTTTTTGAAACTGCCGTTCTTCTGACTCTTCATATACCGATAGAAGTCTATTCTTTAAGGTGTTGTATTTGTCAGTGGTTGGGGGTGAGATCAGAATGTCCGAAATTTGGCGTATAGCGTCCTTGTCGAGTTTAGATACGACCAGGCTATATTTCGCATCATCCCCTTGCTTTTGTGGAGCCATCACTGTCTCGAATTGCGCGAACCAAACTCTCGGCATCTCAGTCCAAAATTCTGGTATTTTTGATGATACTGTGATGGTTGCTAACTCACTGCTTGAAGGAGTAGTACCGACACTGGTTCCGGGAGAAATTCCACAGCCGAACATGACCGTGCCGTCGCAGTTGTTTCCCAGACTCATTGTTTCAGTGACTATGTGCCTTTTGAAAATTCTATGGCGATTCCGCTTGTGGAGACCAATAGAATTGTGCAGTGCAGTCACCGATTAATGAGTAGGACTTCAGTCGGGGTCACCAATGTGGAGCGTGTATGGATGTGTCGGGTTGAGTGTGAGGATGATGAGGTTAAATAATTATAGAGACAATTAAACACGGTCAATACCAAATACACACTGATTTATTGTTATAAGTAAATATCGTGCAAGGCCGTTTGACGACGTTTCGTTGACCTAGTTACGGTACGTTCAACCTAAGTGCCTACAGGAATATCTAATCATGTGATATTCCAAGTCTAAGATTTATTTATTCTACAAAAATGATTCTTTCAGCAATGTTTCTATTTTTGAGTTGCCTATCATTAAAACACCAAAATGTCTATTAATCATCATGCCTATTAAGTAATGTTTATCATTAAAAATCTAGTAAAAAAATTATTTATACAAATATCGGAGTCCAAAAACCGGCTCGGATTACTGACTCATGATAATTAGTAAATGGTGCTTTTAAAAATACCACGAGCCAATATTGTTATTCAGTTTTCAATATTTTGGGACTAACAAATATGCAGAAAACAAAACCAAGGAAGCTTCATTGTTCTATTTGAATATTGTAAAGCTACCTGGGTATGGCCTAAGCCGATAGTAAAGTAAATGCAGCTTTATTTTAACAAAAGAAAACAATAGCCGAAACAATAAAAATGCATAGTCATGGTACCAGTTAAATGTTAAATAAAGATACAAATTTTAATACCACGTAGCAGGAAAAATGGCGTGTTTTGCCATATCCAGCAATTGATGATAATGGCCATAGATATACAGTGTGAGTCACGTTAAAGTGTACATATGAAAATAGATGAAACTAGACCTATTTTTATCGACAAAAAAGAGGTCAAAAATTTTTTGCGATTTTTTTTAAATTTTGTTTAGAATTTTTTTCTTCCAATTACTTATTGTAAAGAAAACGTAATAACTTTTAAACTAAGCGGTATATCCTGATAAAATAAAAACAGTAATAATGCTAAATAACAGGCGATACTAAAAAAATACATAAAATACACAAAAAAGGCCAAAAAATAATAAAAAATGATAATTTTTGAAAAAAATCTGCTTTTAAATTCGTGTTTTTTTGGTTATTTGATAAATTTATCCAAAAAATGCCCCTTTAACCGATGGTTTTTATTACTTTGTATTATTCTCTATCGTATTACTTTCGTAAAACCAAAAATCGCATGTCTCTATACCTATCACAACGTTTGCAATGATCGTTTGAACTAAGCCTCTCCGGGCGCGCCATTCAACGCTTCGTTAACAACGAAACTGAAAATGGCTCTAGATTTGTAATTTTGATAAAAACAAGTTAGATTTCAAATAAAAACAAAAGATTTCGAAGTAAAATAAGCATTTTAGTTAAAATTAAAATTGTCTCTACCTGTAGCGGAGAATAATGTTGTGGCAGGCCTTTGTTCAAACGATCATAGTAAAATGTTGTGATAGAGATAGAGACATGCGATTTTTGGTTTAACAAAGATAATACGATAAAGAATAATACAAAGTAATAAAAACCACCTGTTATAGGGGCATTTTTTGGAGAAATTTATCAAATAACCAAAAAAACGCGAATTTAAAAGCAGATTTTTTTCAAAAAGTATCATTTTTTATTCTTTGTTGGCATTTTTTGTGTATTTTATGTATTTTTTTAGTATCGCCTGTTATTTAGCATTATTACTGTTTTTATTTTATCAGGATATACCGCTTAGTTTAAATATTGTGTATATATGTTCTATAAAAAATTAAAAAAAAACTCAAAAAATTTTAGACCTCTTTTTTGTCGATAAAAATAGCTCTAGTTTCATCTATTTTCATATGTGTCTATGTCTTTGTACTGCGGTAGTCGCTTAGAAACCGTAATCATCGAATATCGAAGATTTGCGTAGCCTTTTGTACCTACTCGTTAATTGATCAATAATTCACGTAACGTATGACACGCGACGACGGCCTGTGGCCTAATTCACGTATTTTGACACAGTTAAAATCTCGTTGACGTTTAGAAGTCGTCCTATTGAAAAACAGTTCTAAATCCGTATTCACAAGGGCCATTTCGATAGAACGATTACCCGATAGGATCGCAACTCAGCGATTTGTTGTCGTTGAAGTTTTGTTACGGGAATAAGGTTACATGCCATTATTATGCAACGACTAAATTATATTTTTGCATCAGGTCGCGTCGAGTTGTCGCGTTTGTCGTTCGCTTATGACAACAGGTTAGGCTGGTTTTAGAATCTCGGTGACGTATGTTGAATGTCGTATGGAAAATTTGTAGCGTTTTAATTATTTATTTATTGTCTCATAAAAGTTACATCAATTTTTCTAATAATCTGCCAAACTGCTGAACAGTTTGTCGGCAGTTGTACTTTGGGCCTCATAGTTACAGGCGTAAGGAACATAGTTGTGTACCGGTGAGCGCCATGACGTCGTGCGCTTGGTCGCGCACGTCGCGATCAGCGAACGTTATAATTACATGCATATTGATCTGTCAGCGCTATCAATCAGCGAGCGCTCAGTGCGATTCTAAAATCCACTTTAGAGACCACAATCATCGGGTATTGAAGATGTATACTTTGGGCCTTATGGTTATAGTCGTAAGCACAGAATAATAATAAGTACTACGTACAGAAGGTATTTAAAAAAATGCATGCTCAATGTCGTTAACAATATGGTGTAATTTAGCTTGTCTCAAGAGTCGGGCACCATTTTGCTGACAAACGTCAGTGATCGGTACTGCGCCGAAGCCATAAGGCTGACTTCGGTAAAATGATGTGTGACGTGAGGTGCCAAACTGCGGAAAATGGCGGAGGAAATACATCAATAACCATGAATTATATTTTGTGTTTCTATTATTATTCAGGCAGTTAAAAAATATTACACAGTATTAATTACACAGAATACACGTGCGTGCGTCAATACTCGCTCGTGATTGTCCTGTCGATGAGGTATCTCAGGATGGGTAATCGCGCGTGTTTTGTTTTCGATGCAAACTCATGGAGATGAACAGGCCTGGCGTAAGGAACATAGTAGCGTACCGGTGAGCGCCATGACGTCATGCGCCTGGTCGCGCACGTCGGCGCGGCGCCGCTCCACCACGAACTCGCAGCGGCGCCGCTGCAGCGCTAACGCGCGCGCCTCCAGCGCTTCCAGCTCTGGCATCTGGAAGGAAATACATTTCATTTGGGCTAGATTGGACCTTATTTCTGCTACGAGAAGGTCCTTTATCTCACGTCTGTTGCGAAACTCATCGCACGCATCTAGGGGGAAAGCATTCATTCATTCTTATACTAGACTTTATTTCTGTTTCGAGAACTCGACAAGGCTTTTATCTGTTGCGAAACTCATCGCACTACTGCATCTGGGATAATGTCATTCATTTACCTTACACAGTTACACTAGACTGAACCTTATTTCTGTTTCGAGAAGACTCTTTATCGCAACACATATCGTGCGAATCGCACATCTAAAATTGAGAAACTCATCGCACAAAATAGGACATAATATCATAGCCCAGAAAGAGCTAAGCTTGAGGTGACCTATGACCGCTTTTACACGTCTATGCAGCGTCTAGCTGACAACAGCGCGTGAGTGCGATTCGCGCGTGAATGTCGCGTGTACGAGCTTCTCGCGGCACTTTTCGCACTTAAACAAATTCATATTAAGAGGCTTCACATCCTGCGAAGAACATAACTTTTCATCCAGGCATTCAATAAGATCAGTTAGGTAGCCTCTAGCCGCCTGCGCACGCCTATAAGCCGCATCCAGCTGCCCGCAGCGCGCACCGCGCGATTCACGCGTGCGTATCGCATGTACAAGCCTCTTGCGGCACTCGTCACACTTCAATAACTCGAGAAAAAACTTTCAAATAATGCAGAGCCTACCTTTTCATCCAGGCACTCAATAAGGTCTGTAAGGTAGCCTCTAGCTGCCTGCGCACGCCTATAAGCCGCATCCAGCTGTCCGCAGCGTGCACCGCGCGATTCACGCGTGCGTATCGCGTGAACAAGCCTATCGCGGCACTCGTCACGTTTCAATAACTCGAGAAAAAACTTTCAAATAATGCAGAGCCTACCTTTTCATCCAGGCATTCAATAAGGTCAGTAAGGTAGCCTCGAGCCGCCTGTGCACGCCTATAAGCCGCATCCAGCTGCCCGCAGCGTGCACCGCGCGATTCACGTGTGCGTATCGCGTGAACAAGCCTATCGCGGCACTCGTCACGCTTCGCAGCCGTGCGCGAGCGGTCCGTTTGAAGCTCTTGGAGCCTAGAAACACATACAGTCAATTAAGATATTAGAAATAATACATAACTTTATGCATCTTCATTGACGTTAAACGCGGTTACATTTTATGATTTTACATTCTGTAATACTTCCCACAAATTACAGACTTTTAGTCGGCCGAGAGTTTAGTAGGCTTCTTGTTTTTGTCCTCATACACATTCATACATGTTCAGATTAATTAACAGACCGGCTAAGTTATCGGTCAACAAAAAGTATGGTAGTCTGCGTGGTGTTTTAGGGGCTTTCACAGCCTGAGTACAGTTTAAGTTCTCAGGCTACAGTCAACAAAAATAACACAGTAAACTAAAATAATTAACTTTATTTTTATTGATGCAATGTATTGCATTGTATAAATTTAACCGTGTGTAAATTTATTTAATAGAGGCCGTGGACCTAATGCCTGTAGTAAGAAGTAACACGCAATATTTAATTCTAGAAGCTTAAAGTTTATTTTACCTCCAGACAAATAGTCTTAAATAAATCAATAAATAATAATTAAATAAGACAACTTTAAAATCGCAGCATAAATAGCGATGCTAAACTAATACATGAACTACATTACCAAATAAACGCAAACGAAACTGTAATAAACTGGTTTATTTGTAATTAATTTAATTAGCCACCCATCGTTTTCATTTGATAAGTGATGAATAAACACCTTATTTCTTAAACTAATCCATGTGATGATTCCAGAAAATACCACGACTTTTCAAAGTAGGTAATATTACCATGCTTAAGCTTTTGTTTATTGAAATACCGCTGGCAACAAAAGTATAAAAACAAATTAAACTTCATCCACCTTCGAGATAAGGTTCAATATCGTATGAGTTTTGTGTGAGCGTTTAAACCATAATCCTAGTGACCTTTCTCAGGTAGAGGGGCTAGAAAGGGAGGGGGTATGCCCATGTGAAGGGACCGGCCGTCGTACCGTCTAGCAGAGGGCCAGTGCGCATCTACACTTCATCGCGATCAGTTGTGCTCAAGCTCCCGTGCTTACCAACCGAGTCTCGCCTTCAAGAACAGTGAACCAGTGACTGTGTTAGTTTAACTTAAGTTTGTGAGTGAATACCGATCGAAATGCTCTCCGTCACCGCCCGCCACTACTTGGAACAAGCGCGCCAGCATGCCAACAGGCAGAACCCAAGGTTAGCGTTTGAATATTATATAAAGGCTGTCAATTTGGACCCAGAATTGAGACATGGCATCGAAAACGAATACCGGGAACAGTTGACCAAATATAATGAGATATTGGCCAAGGTGCCGGGCAAAAGGACACAGATGTACATCAATTATGTCGTCTCGATGCGTATGTACCCCGGCAACATAAATATACTGTACGCCATTGGCCAACATCTAATGAAAAATTCAAAACCCCTTGAAGCGCTTTGCCACTTTGAGAAAATTATCCAAATCGACTCTAATTTAGTAATGATGGAAAGAAACTTGGACTCGGCAAAGAAACATGTTTTCGAGGCCGAAAACTTTCGATTCTTGAATGATAAGAAACGGAAAGAAGCGTACGAGAGGACTATAAACATAATCAACAGAAAAAATAACAATTCAAGAGCGGACATAACGTCGACTTATGTTCAAAGAAATAAATCAAAGTCGATACCCCACCGCAGCTACGTAGGCAGAAGCAACATCCACGACGTGTTAACGACAAACAAGGACACCGGGCAGCTGGAGTTGCCCGATATAGTAAAGGGTAAAACGATGCTGGTAATGAACAAGTTCGGCCCTGGACTCTTCGGCAACGAGTTGTTGCCTGCACTCAAAACGATCTGGGAGTGCAGGCACTTTCAAGACGGCAGGGTGACTCCGAGCAGCGCCGAGTTCTTCGTCGTGGGGGCCAAGTGCGACCGCCTCATCGCCAGGCATCAGCTGGGCGCCGCCGCCAAGCACATCCTGGGAGTCACCCCGGGCCCGGTGCACGCGGACCGGGCCGAATCCTTCCACGGCCAGGACGTCGCGACGTTCGACGACGTGGAATACGTTACGGAGGCGGGGAGCGCCTTCAAAATAGACTTCAACAATTACGGCGACATAATGTCGAAATATCGCGGCGTCGAGGCGTACACCGCACGTTTAAAAGGGAAGGACGAGGACGCCGAAATGAACGTGCTCGTCGGCTATTTCAATTTGCACATGGCCGAGGGCGTGACTCTCACCACCGACCCGCGATCGCCCGACCGCTCGGACGCCTGGCCCCAGGCGATTTTTTTCGATTTCATACCTCGACCGATCAAACGGGACGACGAGGTGTGCGTCGAACTTCAATCGAAGGGAGGCATGCTGGCGCTGGCCTCCGACACGGATCAAATCGCTCGGCTGGGGCCGGCCACGGTGGCGTTCCTGAACGACACAGCCTACGTGGAGGCGCTACGCAGCGGCGCGGGCTTCGCGGCGCAGTACCTGTCACAGGTGCGCGACGTACTCAAAGCCGACATCGCCGACCTGTGCCCGTTCCCCGTGTTCGGGCTCTTCATGCTGAAGCGCGGCGCGCGCTCGCTCACGTGCTTCGCGCAGACGCCCCACGACCGGCGGTTCATCGAGCGAGTTTTCAAGGAGCACGGCATCGAGAAGGACAGATTCACGGTGCTTGCTCCGAACCTGCTCGACGTGTTCGGGGATAAGAAATTCAGCGCGGTGGTGTACAACGGGCTGCGACAGAGCGGCGAGATCGACTCGACGATTTGCAGGATAATGTACCACCTGCGGGTCGCGCACCTCGAGGAAGACGGGCTGGCGCTGCCGGCGCGGGTGAAACTGATTGCGCAGCTGATCAGCAGCGAGAAGTTGGACTCGCTGACGAAGGTGTGTGACGAGGGGCCGGTGGCGCGCGCTCTTAACCCGTTCCAGGCGTCGCAGGTGTTTAACCTCGACCCGACGCGACTGGAATACGAGGCGCTGTCCGACCCGGAGACGATGGCGGACTGCGTGCACCACATGGGCCCGGCCACGGTACGGGTTGAGGTGACGCGCGACGGCGAGTGCGGAGCGATCCTGTGCTGGTACGAGATCCATCTGCTGGACGGCACGGAGCCGTTGCCGACCAACCGGCGCGGCAGCTTCGTGGACTCGCTGGCGTTCCTGCTCAAAGACCCCGTAGAGTTGCACCGAGGCGATACTGTGACGTTGGTCCGCTGCGTCGATATGGACGGTTCCTTTAAGTTGGCCCTCGACGTAGACGTTTTGTAATCGGCACGGAGTCGTTCCCGACCAACCGGCGCGGCAGCTTCGTGGACTCGCTGGCGTTCCTGCTCAAAGACCCGGTGGAGTTGCACCGAGGCGATACTGTGACGTTGGTCCGCTGCGTCGACATGGACGGATCGTTCAAGTTGGCCCTCGACGTAGACGTTTTGTAATTCGGTAAATTCAATTAAAAGTGCTAGTTCGGTAATGTAAATCCCTATGTTTTCGCTATTACTTACATATCTATTTTTTTTTGTTTTGTTACTTTAGATTTTTGATTTATCATCATGTATAGCGTGATCGTCGTTATTATGCTATTTTTGTCTTTGATTTTCATTTATAAGCGCAATTTTAAGCCCAAGATATAAAATACTTTCGGTAATTTTTTGTTATGTTTTCGCTTTTAGTTAGTACCTATAAGTAATTTAGTTTTCCAAAAATAAGTATGTGCAATGGAAATAATTTAATACAAATAAATTGACATAATTGTGAACGCTAAGTTGCGTCACGTAGTCGATAATTCGCAATAACATTCAGTCAAAGCATATTTCTTGTTGTGTATCAACATCATAATTAATTATTGATTATTATTATTGTCTCAAATGAATTTCATTTAATTTAATACGTAATTTTAAGTTTAAAATATGTTTTAACATGTTACTTATAAGAATATGAAGATGGTCAATTTTTCTATACTTAATTTTAATGGACAAATCAGAGAGAGAGAGAGGTATCGTTTTGTCAGAAAATAAAATGTAATACCTAATTATGATTAGTTTTGTCCAATTACTTATTATTTTGATTACGTTTTAATTTGTGTATTTTAATAATTAAATGTGTGTGTTTTAAAACTTTCCCTTTTTTTATTTATTATTTCTCTGACCTTTATCATTTAGAATAAAAAATATTCTGATCTTTAAAAGTGAATTGAGTTGGCAAATCTATTTTAGCAATAACAACTGTGAAAACAGATCAAATTATAACAGAGCACTAAATTAATTGCAGTATTCAAATACTAGCCTAGCTATTATGAGCTTAAAATATTATTTGCAATTTCATTAACGCTTTAAACGACACGTCAAACATCTCTATGAGCTAGTGCTGCACTCTTGTGGCAGAACAACACAGTAATTGGTCCTATTGCTCTAATAAAATTATTATAATATAGGGTCTTTAACAATTAACATACGGGTTCAATCGAATGGTATGATATGATGTACCATCGGCAAATGTCATGTCGTCTCGTTCTATCGCAAAGAATCACCATTTGATGAGAGCGAGAGCAAAAACGGAAATGGATAGTTAACTGTGGCCGTGTGTACATCTCTCTCTTCGTAACAACAAAATTGCCTTGAATATACACGGAGGTTTAATCGATAGGTATGGTATTGCGTTGATCCGGTGACACATGAACACCCTGTATAACTTGACACTGGCTGGAAAATGGTAAAATAGGACTGGAATCTAAAGCGTCATTCAAATCGACCTCGACGCGACGTGTATTGCCAACATCATCAAAAAAGAAGAAGAATGGTAAAATAAAATAAAAAAAGTCTTACCTCTCTGTAAGCGCGGCCAATAATTGCGGCGCGGTAGCGGGCGGAGCGGCGGCACGCAGCGGGCGCAAGTGCGGCGCTTGCGGTGGCGGTGGCGGTGGCGGCGCCAGCGTGAACGGGTTAAGCTCCGCTAGCGTGTCTCCTGGAATAACGGTCCACTCAATGGAAACTGGGATATAGTATTTGCTCACTAGTTGGCGCTACTGGCGAGTAACAGATGACAGGATTATACTCAAAACCTCTAAGGCTTGATTTCCTCCTACGCTGACGTCGGTCGCGTACATCGGTCGAGCGTACGAATAAACACAATGTTCTATGAAGCACCGCACTGCAACGCCGTCGTCAGCGGCAGATGATTACATAGAACTAGTGTGTAATCGTGCGCGCCGCTGACGTCGGTCACCGATGTCAGCCTAAAAGGAAATCAAGCCTAAAAAATAATGTCATCATCATCTAACATAGTAAGTATGTAATCGACCTCTGTATGCTTTTATATTAACAGCTTAATTAAACTGTACAGAGTGGTGCCACCCTAGTGAATGCACTGAACTGCAAGCGAGTGGCAGGACCTTATTTTCAATGACGTCAGCTGGCAGGGGTAAATATGTTTGTCTTCATCAGGTAGTTGATCGAATTATTTTATTCTATTCTGTAACGTTGCAATTTTTGCTGTTTTTTCACAAATTAATATTTCTTCTCGATATTTGGATTTAGGATACCACTAGCGACATCTATTGGCGTGATTTAGAATTAATTTGCAATAGATGGCGCTTTTTGCTCAGTTAATTGAAATATACTTTGATGAAACATTTCCTAGTGTTTTTATATTGATTATTCTATTTTTCAAATAGAATATTTTCAGTGTTCTGGAAATTGTTTTCATCATGGTTTTATTAGTACAGTATTTACTTTTTCAAACGGCGAAACGAAACGTATCGCGATGTCTATGACAGAGCGGCTGTCAGTGGAGCTGTCAAATCACTTAGGAATTTGTCGATCGTGCGCAACCGCAATTTGATTATTTTCGGGAATGTAATTCCTTTTATTTCAAATCGGGTGGTGCAAAATGCATCCACGATAATTTCTTGATGAATAAATAAAAATAACACACATGAGGTAAGTTCCCGTCGGAGAATTTATTTATTTTTCGTGATTGATATTTTTCGTATTCCAGTACGTGGTTATTTCATGTGATCGTTTCTTTCAGAGATTCCCTAAATCCTATTCGGATGAGCCGTGGAGGACGCTGCTTGTAACCTAAAAGTGTGCGAGACCCGTTGGACCCCGGAAGAAGAGAGGAACGTTCAGGGTAACGGCTTATAACCGCATGGCTTCCAAGGTACCCACTTTTCCATCCTTCAAGTAGGAGTCTTTCCGACCTGACATCGCGCAGTTATCTTAACTAGTAGAGTCTTTTAATATTTAGGCTGAGTTTTAAGAAACTTGCAGTGGCGCCCATCTTTTGATGTTTATTGTTGCCACATTTTTTTTATGAAGTTTATGGGTGGAAAGCCAATAATAGAAGCAACATTGTGTGCTGACTATCCGCTCATACACTTCTATTTTATTGTTTAATAATTGTTATTAGGGAATCTCTCATGTGTGTGCTGTTGTTTGTCTTGTTTTTTTTGTAATTTATTTTATTTGTGATGCCCACATAATTATTGTTAGGTTGTCCACTTTTTACATATTATTATGTTAACCATTATAACAGAGCGTAATACTCTATACGAGGTTAGTTTACATGATGTTAGGTTACATATTTTTTGTGTTGCAACTCTTATTTTGTTTATTATGTTGGGACAAGTAACATTTTTTTTGTTAGGTTATATTTATTTTATACCTACACTGCTTTTGGGCTTTATAGCTTATAACTTTTAGTTACTTACTTTAATTATTTTGTTTTTTCGTACAAGACAAACACAGTTTTAGTTTTAATTTTAGTGTTTATTTATTAGTAATAATAAGTAATTACATATTGTATTTTAAAGTACCTACCCGGATATTTTGTTAAATAATGCTAACTAAAATCTTTAAAATTGTTTATGTACTAAGGTAACAAATTGCTTTTGTGTCACTATGGACATATAACTTTTATTTCATGTTACCTAGTACACATTATTTTGTATTACATAATGTTAGCATAATATTATAACCTTTTTTGAAATTAATTAATTTAATTTGGCAAAATTTTTATAACTTAAGGCAGATATTCCTATTAGTTATTTAGGCATTATACTGCAGTGTATTATAAGGTTTGGTACATAATGTTATTACTGGTTAGTGAGTTGTTTGTGGGTACACTTACTAACTTGTTGATTTTTATACGGGAATAACTTAATTGATTATTTTTTGATTTTGATAACAATTAAAAGTTATTAATTCTTGTAAAGTGCCATTCTTATTGTATAACTTTTGTGTAGTTTAATTATTAATGATAATAATTTTCATATAACTTTTGGAAAATATTTTTGCCAGTTTTTTTTTTTTCAAAAATAATTTTATTAGGCTACCTTCTTTAAGGAAGTTTTTTTTTTTTTTAATTATACCAAGGTTCTTAGTCGTAGGACTTAGGATTTTTTTTTCTGGGTAGGTAGGTACTTTGCTTTGGTAACTAACTTGAGTTTAGTTTTTAGATTATTATTTTTTTTGACACAATCGTATTGTGTAATGTTTTTCTGTTGGGAATTTATTTAACGGTAGATGCTTTTAGCAAAAATTTTTTTTTTTGACACAATCGAGTTGTCGGGTATCTGCTACAGTTTTGCCTCGGTGCTTTATCTGTAACTTAAAGTTCAGATATATTTTTTTTTTCCAGAGATTTTATCTGTGTTTTTGTTTTGTTTTGTTTGAGTGCTATGTATCTCCTATATACATGCCTCGTTTGTTTTGTCTTTTCCAGGGATGACATCATGTGCTTTTATGCACTATTCCCTGTGTTTTGTGTTTTGTTGCGATGACGTCCAATTTATATTGTGGCC